GCTAACTGCTGGTTCCCTATAATTGTAAAATTTTTTTAACTCTCACATACTAATATTTGTTCTTTGTCCTTTCATGATAACAAATAGTTTATAATATATTGTCATACCAATCATTCCATTTGATTCTCCAGCTGCTCTGTAAATTAGACAGGCCTGTATTAATCTAGTTCTACATGGACGAATAAACAGATACTCCCCCGTGTTGAGTTGTCCAAGTTCTTATGGCTAAGTCCAGAATCATTGGAACTTTCTTTTTCACTCTTCTCCTTTCAGACCTAACATTTTCAGTGCTTGGGCTGTCTTTACTAGACTGCATGTAGGTTCATTCTTAGTGGTTGCAGGGCCCAGGACAGAGCACAAGTGGAGGCCTGCACGCCATGTTTAAATAGCTGAAAGTTAAAAATCCAATTAATAAACTAATAATATGTTCTAGCTTCCTTTCTTGACAAATGTTCCTTCAAATGGAATTAAAAAATGGGGGTGAGGGCCCTCAGAGGCCTTCCAGAAACAACCTTATGCCCACAGCTGGCAGCCTGGCCCCACTTTGCTTTCTGCCTCATGCTCTTTCCACAAGAAGAACCAGAAGCACATAAATGCAGAAGGCCCAGGCAGCTCAGCATGCCCCTACTGGACTCCTGCTCTGACAGAGAGCTGTCGTCTGGTTCCCCCTAGGGCCTGGGAAGATGAACAATGTGGGAAAGAGCTTTGTGTATGCCCTCCTAGCAGGCTCATGCCATCAAGAAGAGACTGCAGGGTCTTGGTACACAAAGCTTAATCTAGAAGGAGGCATAGGCAGGAGGAACCCTGCAGATCCCTTTCTCTGGGAGAAGTATGGAGGCTAGAAAAGACCCAGAGCAGAACCCTCTAAAGTTCAGTCCTCTCCCGAGTTCTGAGAGTTTTATCACCTGTAGGTAGTACAATGGATGATCGGAAAATGTTCTGATTTCAGATAATAAAGACAAATGTGGGAAGATTTATCAATGAACCACTGAACACTCACAGAGGTTCCTAAACTCCAGTCAAATTTGTTAATTTCTTTTGAAGCATTTGATTTCCTAACTCATAATTTGCAAATAATCGTTCAATTGTCTACCAACTTCTACTTTTTGTTTGCCACAATTACTCCCCTGCAAGTCTCCCCAGGTGCCTGACATATTGAAGTTAGTGGTTCTTTACTGCTTAACCATGATAAATCCCCTTTCCTGGGAGAGTGTTACGTATCTCACTTCTCATAGGAAGTTAAGTTCTATGGGAGCAACTACTTGTAGTATTGCTACATCTGATTATTGTATAGAGAAACTTTTAGTTTGGATATTAGTATTGACGGCTGTGGCTATTAAATTGGGGTTTTCTACTGAAAGAATTCATGTTGCAGACCCAAGGAGGCTGGATTTTAATGTCAAAATTCTTAAGGTGCCCTCTACCCCTTATAACACATACCTGTATCTTAAGTTTTGTTATTATTTTAACAGAGTTAAGAGTATACTTAGGAATGAAAAAAACTAAACTTACAAAAATGAAGAAAAATAATGCATTAAATATATTAAGTACTCTTTTTCTTTCTGAAATTCTGGTCTATTTTCCAACTTACCTTGTCTCCTTTATATCCAGGAATTCCCTAATTAGAATAGAAAAGAAAAGAAGAGAAAGGAAAGGAAAAGAAGAGGAAAGGAAAGGAAAGGGAAGGGAAGGGAAGGGAAGGGAAGGGAAGGGGAAAGGAAAGGAAAGGAAAGGAAAGGAAAGGAAAGGAAAGGAAAGGAAAGGAAAGGAAAGGAAAGGAAAGGAAAGGAAAGGAAAGGAAAGGAAAGGAAAGGAAAGGAAAGGAAAGGAAAGGAAAGGAAAGGAAAGGAAAGGAAAGGGAAGGAAAGGGAAGGGAAACATGGTATTATAAGGCACAGGAAGTATTACAAAGGAAGCATTAGATATTTTTCACTTAAAGGCACAACAAAAACACACCTTTACAGTCTTGGAAAATAAGACCATATAAATGTAGGCTATTTCCCTTCTCTTAGCATTTGGGAATTAACTAAAAAGAAGAAAATAACTTATTTTTCCTTTTATTACATCCTATTCTCAGTTCTAGGTATTTTTTTCAAACCAAATTTCTTACCCTTTGACCTAAAACTAAAGGAGAGAATATGTACCAAGTTACTATAAAAGTGAAGACCTTTAATAGTCCTTGCAAAATTGTTACACTGACTTTTAAACTAGGAATTCCTAGCTGTAATAAAAGCTAAGAATGTTTCATGAACTCAGATACATTGGCTTTAAAGATGAGCTAAAGTAATGGCCTTTAAGATGTGCATAAATATTTGTCTCCCCTATGATCCTCTTTTCAAATTTGGTCTGGAATATATAGCATAAAGGAAATGAATAGTTCCTTTATAAGCCCTGAGAAAGTGACCTTTAAGTTACTGTCTTATCTCACTCTAAATGAAGGGGCAGCCCCTCTGCTGTTTTCTGAGTCACTCTCGGGAATCCTTCTTCCCTGTGTCACTGCCTGTAAGTTGGTTAAGTAATACAGTACAGAATATTAAGCGGACTAGGAAATTACCAACTATAAGAAACAGCAAGTCTTTTTCAAATGAGATTTCATGACTTTTTCATGCAACTATATTTTTCAAGTATGAAAATGGAATTGCAAGACATTTAAAGCAAGCTAGTAAAACTAATGGAATAAACAGTTATTATTGCAATAACATGTGAGTCAGACTACAAAATTTTGTCCTATATGGGACGTTTTTTACAAAAAAAACTATGAAGAAAAGTAACACTTCTGTCCAAATGAGTGGTCACTGTGAAATAGAAGATAAAAGTAGAATTAGTAAGAAATATGGTTACACTACAATTTAATTCATTTTAGAAATACTTATTCACGTAAATGATAATTTTTTAGGATTGTACATAAAATTAAAGGCTACACTATAGTAGTTTAATTGGGATTCTTTTTTTATAACAATTCATGTTTATAGCACTAAAAAACCTAAACTAAGCTCAGGAATCCTGGGGCATCCTCCATCCCTTAAAACACATACATTGTCCTTTACAACTAAATCTAAAACTCTATCATTATCATATGTTGCAAGAGTTAAGATTATATTTTGAAAGAAGTCAAATGCAGTTTTAGAAAAATAATTAAGTTTTTTTTTTTTAATAGTATATTCTTTTCTTCCTGTTGTCTTTCTAAAATCACGGGTCAATTTATTGCTTGGTTGCGATCAGTACTTTATTTTTCTTTCTTTCCTTCCTTCTTTCATTCCTTTCAGGGAAGCCTAATTACCATTTTGGAAATATTATAATTTAAAGTACCCAAAATTGCACTCACCAGTCTCTGCCAAATTTATTTCTGATTTCCTATTTCTACTAATGGCATCATCACATTTTTAAATCACACAGAGTAGATACTTTATAATTCTCTTAGTTTTCTTTCTTCTTTACTTACCACTTATATCTCTTTAATCCAACCTGTTTAAAATTCTCCAACAGTTTCTCACTGGAATTTGTTTAGAATCCACTCTCCTTACCCTGGCATACAAATCCCTACTAACCTACTTCCATGGTCTTGTCTTTCTACTTTTTTAATATGCCACACTTCTTTCCACCTTGGGGTCACTGTACACTGCTCTCTCTAGAATGGTACCCTTATTACCTTGTCTTTTATTTCCATAACACTTTTCACTGGCTGAAATTATGTTTTCATTTATTTGCCTGGTTCTTTTTTCACACCTGCTGTCTTCATGAGATAGAAACTATCTTGCTTAGTCCTGTACCCTTAGCAACTAACAGGGTGCCCAGTGCGTATCAAGTGCTCAATATGTATTTGCTGTATATATGTGTGAAAGTTAAGTTACCATAGGGCCAGTAGGTGGCATGAGGGTTGTGGCGTTAGACTCCCACATGGCTTACTGCAGTTTGAGTCCAGGACCTGGTGGCTTGCCTGCTCGCTCTCGCTCTCGCTCTCTCTCTCACTCTCTCTCTTGCAAGTGCACATGTCCTGTAGCAAAGTTTTGAAAAATACTGGGACCAGCAAATGGCATAATGGCTATATCACTGGGCTCCCACATGGTCAATGGCAGTTTGATTCCCAGACCCAGCAGCTTGAAACTCATGTGAGGTGTATGTGTGTGCATACCCAAAATCCGAAGAGGAGAATGGAGGAGAAGGGACTGTGGCACGGCCATCCCCCTTGGGGACTGATTTCTTGCTTTCTGTTACTCTATCTCTTGGTCTCTCAAAGAAACAAAAAAACTACTAATGATAAATAATTTAACAAATATTTCTTTTAAGAAAGTTTTTTAAATAAAAGTTGTTACCACATGCTGTCATCTCCTCTTTTATGGATTCTTACAATATCCCCTTCCTATTTTGTCATCACTGTAGCCCAATGCTGTCCAATATAATATGAGCCACAAATGCCAGTCACAGATATAATTTTAAATGCTCTTATAGCAGCACTTTTAAAAGAAAAAAATAGGGACCAGCAGATAGTGTGGTGGTTAAGGTGCTGGACTCCCACATGGCTGATCGTTGTTTGAGTCCCAGACCTTCTGGCTTGAAACTCATGCTGGGGCATGTGCACACATGCCCAAAATCTCAGAAGGAAAATGGAGGAAAGGGGATTGCAATATGGCCATCACCTCTGAGGGATGGTTTTTCACTTTCACTCTGACTGTCTTTTTTTGTCTCTCTGGTGAATGCACATGCCCTGTGTCAAAAACAAACAAAAAGAAAACTCTAAAAATAAACAGGTAAAATGAATTTTTAATAGTGTGTTTCATTTATCCCGATAGGTTCAAAATACTATCATTTGGGGCCAGGAGGTGGCGTGGTGGTTAAGACACTGGACATTCCCACATGGCCGACCATGGTTTGAATCCTGGACTTGATGACTTGCTTTCTCACTTTCCTTCTCTCTGTGTGTCTGTCATTCTCTGGTCAAATTAAGATAAACGAATGAATAAATAAAATTAAATAAAATACTATCGTTTCAACATTTAATTGATATTTTTAAATGATCAATGAGATATGTTACAACCTCTTTAAACACTAAGCCTTTAAAATTCAGTGTGGATTTTACTACCACCACACATTTAAATTAGGACAGCCACATTCCAAGTACGAAGTAGCCACAGATGGCTAGTGGCTTTCCTAGTGGCCAGAACATCCCTAGCCAATGTCCCTGTTACCTTGCATGTCAGCTGCAACAACAAATCTTCTTCTAAGTGCTCCTTTTTCTTCTTGTTCCCATTTCAAACTCTTTTTTAGAGCCTTGACAGATTAATCTGCCTAATACACAACTCTTGGATCACATACTTCATCTAAAATTTGTGGGGGCTTGCCACCTTCTAGCAAAGCAGAGTCCTAGCAGTCAGCATTGAACATCCACTTTGACACAAACTCTCCCTTCAAATCATTTCTAACACTTTTTTTTTAGGTACCTCATCTCACCATTCCATGACCCATCACCTTCCCTTGTTCTTTTTGCCTTTTAAACCTGCTTGAAGATTGTAAGACCTGAGTGAGCATGTTTGGGGCAACCTGTTCATCTGGCAGCATGCTGGCATCAATCCTCAAGTTTATGCCAAATAAACTCCTTTCGCTTTACATATTTTATTTCAGCTTATCTTTTTTTTTTTTATGATCACATAT